ATTCCTGAAAGCTAATGGACAGATACTCGAACTTTCTCCTATACATAATACATTTTGTAGTATATATGCAACATATACAGTATTGCAGTATACATATTACAGTAAGGGCAGGACAGAGGGGGAAATATATCGTTCTCTGACTGAGACAGACTGGGACAAGATATGGAAAACCCAAAATGTGGACAACAGACCATTGTTTGGGTCTTTTAATTGTAAATATGATTCAAATAGCTTAACCTAGATTTCGATATCTTTCGAATGTACCTTTGGTTGAAACTGGAAAGTATACATTTATACCGTAACAAGAACGAATGTTTACATATAATTCAAAAGTATAACAGCACGAGTATTCATTTTGTCTTTTGTCTTCTACCCGTCCCTACTAGACTAACAACTAGTCTCTGAACTCAACATATTTTACAGAAAAAATGTTCATAGTAATAAAGAAAAATATAATAAAAAGGAGCCCTGAGACATTCTCCTGAAGCTGTGGAAATCTACACTTGCCACATTTTCTAGACTTGCGTGGGCTTGGATATATTTACTTCAGGGTCTGTATGACAGACTACGTCCCTACATACGCTCAATCACATGTGAGTCCAGGTCACGGAGAATCATTGGTGCAGGGGCCCATATTGCAATTTTCGTGCGTTTGCATGTCTTGTTGACGCGGCATGCTCATGATATGGTTAGAATCATGCCACGGATTAACAGGTTTTTATGTAGGTGGCTTAAAACTTGCTTTTACAAAGGCCAATACATTCGATCACAATACTTTTCGTTTTACAGCTTCTTTTCTCTTAGCATGCTGACCTCAAAACTGATTTCAATTCTAATCGCTGGTTAAAGAGTAAGACAATAAATATTATGTCAAATTATTGTTACCATGACAACCCTGTGATATTTTACCTTATGTAAGAGAGTGATAAATACGATGCTGGGTGTGGCAGTACTACTGCAGTTGATAGTGTCTGTCGTAAATTTTAAAAAGTTGCTTCAACGCTATCACTATTCACTGGGTATCTATACTATTATATGTGTGATGGAGAAGCACTTGCGTCGCTAGTACATCGCGCACTACCCCTTTCTCTTTTGATCTTCTTAAGCGACTGTTACAAGTTCGAAGAATCCTGGTCAAAGTTGAAAAGTCTTAAGACTATTCCCTACTATTTGTAACATACAGATTGTACCTAAAATGGGTAGAGCTTCCGTTCGGGGGAATATCAGAAGGACAGCGATACATTTATCTCCAATGTTGTAAAGGCACTCCACTTACTTAGGAAAACAATAACTTAATGAGATATTGCATTCATGTCGGAATCAATATTTTCGGCCCCTATCAGATGTGAACTTGAACATGCGAGGTCTGCGTCTATGTCGGACTTAAGGTCTGCGAGTTGTTTGGCAGCACTGGGGCGTAATAGTCATATAGGCCTGCTCCAAACAACGGAATATATATCTTTTGAGAAGGACTTCTCAGACGGGTAAAGTACAGCAATGCAACATCACATTTACTTGTGTGATATTTGCTTTTGCAATATGAGTTTATCGATCGTCAATTTAAACAGGACAATCAAGGCGAATTTGAAAAAGGCACGGAGATCCAACATGCCTGTGGTATACTCAGAGAACGCACCCGCCTGTGCTATCAGGTCATAATTGCTAGACAAAAAAAAACTATTTTTCATTTCATGTCTCACAGAATATATAATTTGATATGACATTGTTTGTTGTCGCATACGTTTGCGCTAGTGAAACAAATGTGGACAACTTAAAGCTGATGTATGGCGTTATTACAGCAAAGGCTGAGCGGAAGGAGAAATAACATGGTTCAGGCACTGTGAGACTATTAAGAAAGGTCACATGCAGTGCAATCATATTCCAGTTATGTACCGCCGAACAATATTTTACAGTAGTGAGCTGAATAGACTTAATAAATTACGAGTTGGTACGTGTGGCATATTTGGCTGAGCTCTAAGAGATATAAAGTGCTATTCTATTGGGACAGCTAGGGACACTTGAGAGGACAAAGAGGCACCTCATCGCCCTTTTTCACCACTGAACCTTTTAATCCCTCGAAACAAGTATCCAAAGGGTTCTTAATTAACTCCGCCTTTTAACCTGACAGGTAGTTGTGTTACCTGTCAGTTATCCAAACCTGGGAGGGCGTTCCTTTACCGGAACTACGATAAACCCTCGTACTTCGGTCCTGACGATTTGGGATGTGCGAGAGGTACCGTGTCAGTACCCGAGGGCCTTTGGACCTTTACCGTAGTTCCTCCAGCAACCACAAGACGATGATGTTCGTTCCACAGTTTTATTAACACTGCGTTGCTGGTCCAACCCACTCTATTTGTCACATAATTAGGAGACTTCAGCTGGAAAGCTTCAGTCTCAGTCGAAATGCTGGTGCTTTGAGTTTGTTTCTTAGTGCGAAAGTTAGTGACAATCAGATGAGAGCTGATGCGCCCAAGACCCCAGGCTTGGGGTTCCTAGGAGCACACTCGTTCTCGGCTTCAGGTCTCGCACCACTCTCTCATCTCTGAGCTTTGCTCCAGCTTAAAGCTGGGTTCCTACGTCACAGCCAACACCATTTTCCATTTTTTCTATTGGTCAATAACCCATAACCTGACTATGTATTACTCTCCCCCACCTCTATTTTGTACCCCAAATACCATATTTGTAAGACTGTGAGGTGGATTCCAGGAATCTCAGAGTTTCTCTCCCCTAACCATATATGACTTGTAGAATACCAAGAACCGGTACCAAGGTCCCCGGCCACGCTGCTTCATCTTGATAGTGTAGTAGTTTTCCCTTTACCTAAGCTATGAGTCACCTCACCTTGCCCCCATCAGCTCCAACGACCTACGTTCATATTTATTACCCCCGCTACTGACTTCCTACCTTACAACGTTATTAATCACTTCATATCTTAAATATATTATTAAATCCTCTCATAATTTGTATCTTATCCCACTTAATCACCTGTTATTAATAATGTCAATTGTATATCTATTATTGTAGCAAGTACCATAATCTCATGCCTATAATACAAGCACTTCACGAGATTTGCCAACACCGCAGACAAGATGTAATCTGATACTGGTAGCAAGAGCGAGTGCAGCTGAATAAGGCATGTTAGCTTGCGTAACACTGCTTTCTTTGTCAGGCACTTTTGGTGATAAGAATAATGAGGCCACGTGGACGTTGATTTCAAACGTACTAAAATGTGTGAATATAAAATTCCATGAACCAAGTAATTCAGATGATGGAAACATATCATCAGCTTGCTTGAGCACAGGTAACACATGACGATGTATGAACCATTCATTTACATACCTCTGATATCCGATATGATACATAGAGAATCTCACCCAATTGTCTTCTGATATCAACTATATCAACACGAGTTGATAAAGTTACAAATATCCGAGGCTTGCCGAGGATATTTTTACTTTATCAACGAGTGTTGATATATTTGATATCAGAAGACACGAGGGTGAGATTCTATTTATCATCCAAAATCACTCGTCATTAATTTTCAATGAAAAATGTACATCTCTGAACATGGTACTGCCATTAGACTTGCAGTGCAGCGATGTCATAGCATTGTGACGTCATCAAGTACATGACGTCATAGCATTGTCAGGGCATTGTACAAAATCTACTGTCAAAACGATATCTCCTAGGAGATATCGTTTGATCTCACACAAGCGATATCTCCTGTGGAACACAGTTTTGGATGATAAATACATATCTAGGGTGTGTAAACATTTGCAAATTTCTAAATTTACATGCGTTTCCCCACCTAAGTAAATTTACATGTTTCCAACCCGAGTAAACCTAGAACGAAATCGGAAATTTCAGCACCCATTGAAATTCAAAGGAATGCACTGGAAATACTGTATGATCATGTATTTATTGGGGTATCTGTTTTGCAATTCACGTTTGGGAATACCTGACAATCCGGTCACGGCATACATGAACGAGGTGCTTGTGCATACGGAAATGTACGACGAGCATATGTTTCAAAGGTGAAGATTTGTATGAAATATATGCCCGAAGTTGGAAAATCAATGGAAACATTCGTAAATCCGGTCATAGAATGTATTTCCTACGTTATTTACGTATCTTTCAATGGTGTACTATCCGGCTTTTGGTTCTGTGAATATCACAATGGATACATATTTATATGTAAAAATGGTCCAGGATCGTTTTAAAAATGATAATTTTCATTTAATATTGTGCTTTTTACAAGAGACATAATTAATCCATACATTTTAATGATATATAGTTAAGTATTTTATAAAACAGTAGTATGTGATCATTAACTGAGATTATTTGTGACGAGGCCTTTGATGGGGGTTGAATTACTGTGACATATTGTCCCCTTAGAGGGTATGTAAACACACACCACTCAAAGAATAGTTATCTATATCATAGGATTTAATTTCAGTATAAATGTCGATTTTAAACATATGGCTAACCTTACATTAGTCGCTAACAGCTGAAGGGATGGTTTAAATCCAGCTAGAGTCCATGAAGGTAGCAAAAGCAAAAGCAGGGATCCATGCAAAGGGACTGTAACTCCCATGGTCTCTAGTGTGGTTATCTACCTTCACTTGTTGTCGATCTATAGCCCGTTTTTACCATTGTTTAGCTACTTAGAGTAATACGTTTTTGTGGTTACGTACTAGTTTTAGAGAAGTTCTGTGATATCTAGTAATTTTACTGTCTTTAATTGATAGGTATTTATTGTAAAGTTGGTCTTATTAACAGAAAGCTTTTGCAGTCACGATATGGGTGAAATATTGCCGATTTGACTTTAAATGTCAACTCACTCTGGTCACAACTTTTGACCTTTTAACTATCTCATATAAACAAAAACATGTATATTCCTTGATACAGGATCGCAGGAGAATACAGAAAAAATATAATTATGCGCTTGGTTGCCCATCCATCACATGTCAATGTCCGTTATAGCATTTACGAAGACATACCTGGAACTCCTGTCACCGTTACAACAGCAGCTCTGCCTTCATAGTGGAGTGAACTGTTTCCATGGTGACCTTCAGGAAAGGCTGGGCTTGGCTCATCCCAGGCCGCGAGTACTATGAGCGTTGCTATGGGAGATACAGTCCAGTTATTTAAATGACATGGCGTCAGGGCGACTCTAGTTCCAACTCATGCTGCTATTACAAATTCCTAATGTTACATTTTCGACTGAAACAATGGGATTTCAAACGTATTTTAGATGGGAAATTAGGAAAAAACACCGACTAATATTTTGAAAAGTGTAAAAATAAAAGTTGCAGAGCAATTATGTATTACTGTTACTGTACAGATATTTAAGGTGTTTGTACAAACAAACAAGCAAACAAACAAACAGTAAACATGAATTACTGAAATATCCTTTCCAACCCCTGTTTAAACGGTTACGAGAAAGCCACATACATACCTTTTGTCCACTCTATTTTGACCATGTGACTCAGTTTAGTGATTGCACGGGCAAGACAAGGTGTCACATATCTACTTGAACAGTTGCTTGCTGAATGGTTGTTGCATACAGAACATGCTGATGGCGTCAGTTCACAAAGAGCACTTTCCTCAGCAGCAAACACAATGTCCGTTCCTTCCAAAACCTCGAACCTACAACGGAATGAACAGTCCTTAAACAGAAATACCAGAAATGTTTCTTCTTGAGCAACCGATGTCATTATCTCGAGTCCAACGAGACGAATTAAAAATGAATCACATATGACATAGGTAATAGAATACGATGAAGAAAAACATACTTATCAATTATACTGAAGTAGAGATCGTCAACTTACTTGTTGAACAGACTGCTTCCCCGTTCAACCCTGTCAGTCATTTCGCCACACACCTGGCCCTGTGTGAGTGGAGGCCCGAGTTCTGCAGGACCGTCACAATGGGCCAAACATGTCAGGGACAGACTGGACTCTGTGAGTGTCTCTCTTTTCGTGATCTTCGGATTTAACATAACATCCCTGAAACAAATACAGTAGTATAGGGAATAGCGGTTCGATGCCAGGTCCCAATAAGTGATATTTTTTGCGAACTACCGCAAAATATGGGTGAATGATGGCGGTTCATTATTCGACACTCTGAGGTATAACCGGAGGTACATGCAAAATGTCACGAAGATTGGTCGACTAGTTTAAGAAATATTCTCTTTTTAGTGAGCATGGGGTCAGTCGGGCGAAAGGCTAACTATCCTATGTATACATGACCACGCTTGTTAACGAGGTTGTTCATCCCTGACCATCAGGTAGTCGTTGTGTGTTGAGCCAGTTAGCTGTCTGTACGGCTCGGGTAAAGACCTCGGACTCATCAGCGATGAGCAATCCCCTGGCCTGGTAATACACTACCGGTGGATCGATCTCGCTGGGTGTATGGCTGACACACGAGTGGATCGCTACACTCAGCCAGCTCATTATCACATGCCTCTGCTGTCATGAGCCATGACTTATCTCTTGCTTGAATCCTCCGGTACGAGTTGTAATTCGCTGAGATAATACTCGGCCCGTCCTGGCCCGTCTTTGAGATAATACTTGGCGGACGTTGATGTTTATCAACCATATCAGATTGGTAGCACGTTTTCTGCAATCTCCCTCGTGTTCACACGGCTGGTACAAGTACCTAACAATGTCCGCTAATATGTTCCTTTTTGTGCAACGTGTAGGTGGTGCGGACGATTTGGCAGTGATAGATTTCATTTTGATGGCTTCGATGGGTTTCTTGCCCACGAGTACAGTGACTTTGTTGTTGATGCCCGCCACCACTCGTGCCGAACGTACAACCCATTCCGTAGATTGTTCCTTGGGAGAGATTATATTCTGAGCGTACTGGTGTGAGAATAGGCTTTCGGCTAAGATGCGGTTGAATCTCTTGACAATGGCTTGGCTGCGATGCGCTCCTGCTATACCACGTCTTACCTTGACTTTGTGCTTGGCAAGCAGCTGCGACACGGCTCCAACAAACTCGTGTCCAGGATTGATTTGCAAAATGGCAGGCCAGGTAGACTTGCCAGAGAGCTTGTTTTTTAAGCCAAGCTTTAGCGGCGGCTTCTTTGATGGCACCTGTGCCCTTCGAGTATCTGCATGGGCTGTAGTAAATTTTCTCCATTACTATTTATATTATTTCTTTATATTATTTAATACATATGTGTCCGTATGGCATGATGCAATCCATCTTTTTTGTGTCCATGGAAGACAATCTTGTTGATTATCAGACGGAATATCGTGTGGTTGTCACTTCTCAGCATGTTCATTTTGTGTTTTGACTGTCGGTCTCTCGAACAGGCCCTCTTTGAATCGATTGTGCTTGATATGGTTTTTCACCATCTTTTTTCCAATGCCATTTTGTTGTTGTCCGCTTTCTTGTTGGAATACATTTTGGGTCTCCAGCTATCGTATTCTGCGATCGGCGTGCCTGCGCATTCGTCCTTCATGCGTCCTAGAACCTTTTTGTTCACTTGGCTGTGCAGTGGATGGCATTTGGGATAATCGCTGGTGTTGTACAGGTGCATGTGCTTCGCCATGTCCGCATACAGGTCATTGGTACGAAATTCTATCAGCAGCAAATCCGTGTCCGTGGACAGCACTTCACATCAATCGCTGTACTGCGTTTTGAGTTCTTTGTAATTAAAGACATACATCAGGTGTTTGGATACGTCCAGGATTGTCATCCCCACGTAAACAGGCCGGTTGAATTTGTGGCTTTTGTTCATGTGTAGCATCGCCAAGTGGCCGTCGAATAGTTTTTCTTCCTCATGAGTTCAGACTAACTTCACGTCGACTCGTTTTAGTAGAATTGTTTATGAGGATGTAGATATTTTTTTCAAAATTGCTGGTGGTTAGTTTTCACAAACCTGTGTTCATTTGGATGTACGGCTCCATCCACGGACGTTGATCGAATCACAGTGCTCAGTGTATTTTCTTCAGCTTTATTCCCAACGACATGTAAAGCTGCAGGTTTCTGTAGTGCACGATGTACTTTTTCTTGTTCATCAAGTTGGGTCTGAGTTTTTCGATCTTGGCCACTTTACCTTTTCCGCGTAGCAAGTTTCAATGGTAGCCGGACAGCCACTGGCAGCCTCTCAGGAGCCAGCAGGTAGCTGTTGAGAGGTCAATGTAACTCCGTGGGATAGTCCAAGTCCACTTCGAGTATGTAGCCAACATGCAAATGCGGAGCGATGCTCGTGACATTGATCATTTTGCTGTCAGTCCACTCGAATCCTTCGGTCGGTAAAGGCTGGCTCATGCCCCAGCCATACAGGTTGTTTGTATCCAGATAGAGTATGTTTTTGGTTGGTTTGCTCTAGTCATAGCCATCCACGTGCTTCTTGTTGGCTTTGGTGTAACGCCTGGCAGACATCAAATTCCCGCCTCGCAGACCTTTCTCCATGAACAGGTACATGTCGTAGCCGGTCTTTTTCAACAAATAGTGTAATACCAGGCAAATTCCAGGTCGTATTGTCTTCGAGCAGGTTTTTCTGAATATCTTAAAGACGTTGCGCATTAACAGCCCGTCTGTTTTCAAGTAGAGACCGTGGTAGTTGCCTAAAGTTTTGCAGCCCAGTTTGTCCCACACATTTATCGCGTCTGAATAATCGTCCTCGCCGATACATGAGTCGGTCAAGTGACTGTAAAAGCGGTCTATGGGAGGTAATTGCGTTTCTTCGAACCTGAACCAGTAGTCCATGTACGCCTTTTCTCAGCAGCAGAGAACAAGTAGCCTCGTCGGTGTATCGATGGGGTATGTAGAAGGTTTCGGGGTCGTTTGTTTTCACTAGGTAGTCCAGAGACGCCAGCAAAAACTGAAAACTGTCTATGAATTTCTGTCCGTCCAATGAGAACGAGATACATATCTCCATGTTGTTGGGAATGCATTTTATGTTGCCTTCCATTTTCGAGATGACTTGCATGATGATGTGAGAATAATATCCATGAAGGTTGTGCGGCACCACATTTTCAGTTTCAAGTTGCACGTGCTGTGCACGGCCGTTGATGTGCCTCGGAAATAAGGCTTGATGCGCTCGGTGCCACCGCTGACTGTATGCTGTTTATCGAGTGACATGTAGCTCCTCGCCGAGCTTGCCAGCTATCAGAGACTTGACTTGAGTCCATGACCATCCGCCAGCCGCGTATGCTGCAGGCTGCTGATAAGGTGTACATGGCCCATCAACGAGGATGTTTTTTTATATTTTCTGCTTTTGGCTAACCCGCCTTTTTTACGGGCAGGTACTTTTTGGGGGTTCTTCTTTCTGGTCACAGTATCAATAACTGTCGGTGGCAGCGGCGATGGATCCTCCTCCTCCTCCGCAACTGGAGTGTTGTTCGTTGTCATCTGTTCATCCATATTGTACATTATTATTATCTTATAAATCTATAAATCGGCAATGTTTCGCCATGATGATTGATGCGGTCAGCGGAGTTTGGATTTGTACCTCGCGTACAGTTTGTCGACTTCTTTGGTCAGCATCTTGTAAATTTTCTCGGTGGTGACGCCAGCCTTTCTCGCTGTTATTGTTGTTTTTCTAAATTTTGCTAGTAGTTAGCTACTGCATATGCCACGGGTTGGTCTGCTTTTAATATGAGTTTGGTGTGTTTCTTTTTGGCCAGCAGTTTTTTCACGTGGTCACGCTTCTGTTTGGTGGGAATCACGTTGTTTTCCCACAGGCATTCCTCAAATGAATCCCTCTCCTCGCAGTGAAACAAGGCAACCCATCGTGTCTGTTCCCGCAGGTCTTTCAGCACTGAGCTGATTTTTGCCTTAAAACCCACACGCTGTGTTTCATGCGCTGGCCAGAAAAAAAGCTAAATAGCATGTCTCGTTTTTTGATGACTTCTTTGTTGGCGCTGCAGTCGTCTATGACAAACAGCCTCAACTCTTCTTTAAACTTGTTATGATAAGCACGCAAACCAGACGGTTCCCGGATCGATTTTGTGCTCTTCGTTGTCCATCAACCACACTCTCTCCGTGTACGTTTTGTTCATACGCAAAGTCGGGCAGAAAATGATGATGATAGTATCCTTCCAGCATGTGCAGCACAAATACCATATTTACACAACCCCTCTGGCCCACACGATGGCGCAGTGCATATCGCGATGCAGATCAATAAAAAATATTTCGATTGAAAAATTCTTAATAGGTGGCTTGCACGAATCTCCCATTGTCTATATTGAGTTGCACATCCATAATTTAACTTGCCGGCCTGATCTTGCACCTTCTTGGTGATTTGTATCAGGATGCCTTTGCTTCCTTTGTCGATTGCCTTTGCGTTTGGCCAGTGCCCTGCAGCCGATCATCGTTTGTGGAACGTATGGCCAACCACAGCTTGTACTTGCCATGCAGGTATTCCCTGATTGACACACCTGGGAGTTGAAGATCCTTGACTACTGAATTGATTTCCGGTGTGCGCTTGATAGCTGGCAGTTTTTGGATCTCGTCCCACTGTTGGTGAGCCCTCATGCCTTGGCTGAACCCCTGGTTGGGCTCGCCTTCGACGATCACTTCCAATTTGGTGATCTCAGGGTTCCAAGTCTTTTTGCCGCTTCTTTGAAACGGCTGGTATTCCACCCCGGGAATGATCAAAATGCCTTTCATCGATCGATGTTCTACAGCATGTCACTCTTGTCCTTGACGACCTTCTGGTGCCACAGAACGCGACGGTACAGGATGGACAGCTTTCCCGAGTACTGGTTTTGAATCGGCCGGGCCAGTTCTGGGCTCGTGACCATGTCGAACTCCAAGGAAATGTTGTCAATGACTTGGCTGGCATCGATGCCATCCAGTGTATGAATAACTTTGCTGTAGTCATTGAACGTGAGTTTGTATTCCAGCTGGTCGCCCAGTGCAACCTGGAAAAATGGCATGTGCCCCTTGAGCAGCTTGGAGTCGAGCGGAATGCAAAAACAGTTCCCGTACATATCTTTCAGGGATACTTCATTGAGCTCGTCTTCCGTGTGAGCATGTGAGTGGTTTCCTCAATCTTCATAAAGGATCTTATTTATTTCGTATTGTGACGACATTGTTATATACATATAAATTTTTATAAGTTTAATATAAATAATAATGGCCGAAGGTGGCACCGAAATGGACGATTTATCTACCCCGTTGCTCGATGATACCGATGAACAAGATGCAGACACTTCATTCATGGGTGGTGCAATAAGTGATGAACTCTTACTGACGACCGTGAACGATTATTACGATGCTTCAATGCGAGATAAAAATTACATCAAGCCCCTGTATCACAACTATTCTACGTTGGAAATCGACAGCAAGGGCACGCTGCAGGTGAAAACCAATCCGGGGATCGATCTCATGAACGCCAGCACGGAAGACCATTTGCTCTGTCAACTCTGCCCGGAAAACAGGGCGTCCACGATGAATTAAACCTGCGAAATTACGGCGGTGCCCGTCCCAAACTTTCATCGAAGGCTGCCAAAGACCTGCAAACCATGCAAACAGAGCTTGGTGCCACGGCGGGTGCAGTCCAGTCATCGACAACCCTTGTATATGACCAGATTCTTCCAGCTGTAGCCTCTGAATTCGATGGACGAGATATTACGTCATATTTTTTACAATGTTTCCATACGAGGGACGTGATAACTTGTCTACTCATACTAAACATATTGCAAAAGTTTTCTAGTCGTGTATCCTCAATTCGTGTACTTTGTGACAGTGCATTATTCAGGATGAACTTGATTTACTTGATTATCTCCCTGGTCAAAACCACATGCACCATGATCTTGACATTCGGTGACCACACAGCGTTAAATGGCTGGTCGTGGAAAATCGTATAAGACTGCAAGCCAGGTTCTATCTGCCATTTGTGATGATGAGAGTAGCTGTTATGACGTTTGACGTTAGCAGTGTTCTTTGACCGTTGACTGTTCTTATAACTGTTACCACAGGTAACACTCGTTTCATCGTTCTTTGGATGTCGTGACCCTATAAGTCTAAGTGATGACATAAATCTACTACATTGTGGTTGTGAAAGAAATTGTCACAATTATCACACTGCTGTGTAAGTTCAATTATGTTTCTCCTTTTTGAAAAAACTGCATTTCCAATGTTTCTAGGCTAAAGACGACATAATTTGTTCTCTTTTGGTCTGAAATATTTTAATGAAAGTGCATAAACATGTTTTGAATTTTTTTTAGTTCATGTGGATTTTGATGTTATGTTAGTCATGAATGGTCCATGTCAACCGTTGCAACCTTGGAGACGTGATATTACGTCCCTCGTATGTCATGTTGCTAAAAATAGACGGGTTGTGGCCCTTCTGATGTAATATCTCGTGCTTCGAATGGAAAGAGTTAAAGTAAATTTAAACTTGCCACTTTTTTAATCGTAGAATATGTGTGCGTTTAATTTATGGCTATATTTGTCTTCAATCACCAATGGCAGAAGGGATGGTGTAAATCCAGCTAGGGTCCATGCATGTAGCAAAGGTACTGCAAGTCCCCATGGTAATATGCTGCACGTGAGGGCAACTCGAGGTCACACTCTGCAATATCACGTATTACCCACAATGGACTAACATCGATGACAACAACAAACTCTTAGTCAACAAACAGCAATGCAGTTACTACAGTGTGTGCTCGATCAATGATGCAATCTTGAAACCTCTGGGGGCCAAACCCAAACTGATTCCAACAGCACAATCGTGCTATCGAACAACGGGAAAGACAGCTTGAGACTCCTATGTCCAGTATGCTCGGGTTGACGCCAAACGAAATACCACCACAAACCACCGTGACGGGCTCTAAAAAGAAAACTGCAACGACGGCAGAACCAAATTGTTCCCGTTCCTGCAGTACAAGAAATTAACCTGAGGCACGATCACTGAACTCAAAATATCTGTTTTATATATAAAACACGAACCAATAAACATAGGATTTCTCAGCACGAGACTACACATAAAACAATGGTACATGCTTTGGGTCCTGGAACGCAACACATCAGAAAATGCGCCACCATAACGATCACGGACCTCAGTGACATGCGAGGACTCGAAGAACCCGGACAACGTGTACAAACGCACCAAAGTCCATAGCGGAGGTGGCAGTGGTTACCTAGGAGATTTAGACGATGTTGAGATCGGCGATGGACTCGTCAACAACATTTAATACAATTTCGTCCGTAGCGACAACAACAAATGGGGGGATGGCCACAGAATTGGACGTTGAGACCCAGGGTATCTCAAAAAACACCTTGTACAATATCGTCTACACTGACGACAACAAATGGACGTTGATCTCGCCTAAAATCGACTGGCTGTTGAATATCGCTCTCGTTTCTCCCTACGTGTTTACCAAGAAAAAGGATCATTATGTTACCAAAATCATCAATAGTGGGATTCTACCCGTGGCTTACGTCCTGTCACATCACCCTCACCTCAGCATCATACATATTTATAAAAAATGGTTATATCCCTGAAATAATAACCAACGGGATCATTCTCACGTCTTTCACAACGAAATTTCATAATACCATACAAGTATTGCGAATACCGGGTCACATGAGCAACATGTCAGCTCCCAGTCGACTTGAATGCGTCTTTGCTCTCCGACATACTCAATTACCAACTGTATTTTTCCGATTCAAAATTTCCCACAAAAGTTTATCTCGTCGACGATCCCACGGAAGATCTAGTACTTTTGAATGGATTGACAATAAACTGGGCGATCAATACACACACCAGTGTTGCCGTATTTTCATAAGACCAGGGTCGACACGATTAACAAGCCTCGTGTTCGAGGGTTCGTGTTGATGAAACGGAGTCCATTCAGCTCTCGACTATTTACTTTCATGAAAATATAAACTTTGTCGGCCTAAAGTGCATCAATCGGAGATTGACAGAAAACCAATTAAACATTATTTCCTAACTTATATTATAAATGATGGGGTTATATCCGGCCATGGACGAAGTGGCCAAAACACTCCAAACTGTGGACAGATTTCGTCTGCGGCAAATAAGTGACATCAAACGCCGACTGGAAAAAGAATGTGACATGCAACTAGGATAGTATCATAGAGCAGTGAATGCCATTGATGGCACAGACACCATGCACGTAGCAGCGGTATGAGACTCGGTGCTGCTGGCGTCGTCTTATTGTCGACCATCATAGCCACGCCCATCATCCTCGGGTCAAAAATAGCAGCCGGGGTATCGGGGCTGGTTGCAACGTAAAGCGCTGAAGCACGAAGAGATTAGGGTTTTAGCCGAAGTGAACACGATTGATGATAACATATCAACAGCACTCGCTGATAGCAAGATCACGGAGGAGGAGTTCTGTCTGGTGCTAGCTGAACTTGCCAAATACGACAGAATGAAAGAAGAAATTCGAACGAAGGCCCGCATTCACTTGGCGAACAGGAGAAAATACAGTTTATCGAACAGCGCAGGCAACAGGCACGGCAAGCATTCCTTTCCAAAACCAGAGAAATCATAGGAAAATAACGATGAACTGTTTCCTCGGTATCAATGTAAAACCATAAAAAAGCGTGGTCAGCTATACGTTGGATAGTTAGCCTATCGCCCGACTGACCCCATGCTCACTAAAAAGTGAATATTTCCTAAACTAGTCAACCGATCTTCGTGAAATTTTGCATGTACCTCCGGTATACCTCAGGGTGTCGGGTGGTGGGTGATGAACCGCCATTATCCCCTATATGTTTTTAGTCCGGAAGGGGCGTTAGTTCGCAAAAACATATCACTTATAGGGACCTGTCGCCGGACCGCTATTCCCTATACTACTAATATCTTTACTTTGACATACTGGTAATGCAAGCTGATGTCACAACATAAGACTGTATCTCAAAGTGTCATTTCCGAAATAACATGGAAATCATCCTATTCAATGTGACCTCCGTATATCAGCAAGGTTTGGTGCTTACCATATGCTCAATCCAAATGCTTGAACGGAAAGAACTGACTCTTCAACAGAGAATAATCCATCTACTGCAAGTGTCGCTTCTGTGCATACTTCAAGTCCAGTAATGACAGATTCCATTTTCATGCTTGGCTTTACTCTGTAAATCCGAAGTCAAGGCTGTATTAACTGTGTTAACGTGTTGTACATATTCTAGCGTACACATATTGTTCGGTGACTTGACAAGTGTCAAAATATAAAGTGGTTGGCAGTCTGCGCTTAGAACATGCGTAGATGTACGGCATTACTCACTCATCCGCAAAACAAATTATTTGATTACATCATTGCTAGTTTTTTCATTACATGGTCGATAAATGTAATTAGATTCTGTATTCTAGCGGGTGAACGAACAGACACATCACAACATGCTATACATACTTACATTATTTCCATTGGAGGGTACAGGCTGATGGTTACGTCCTTTACTTTCCAGGAAACAGAGGCGTTGAAGAAAATCTGGAAAACAACATGTTGTTTGGATACAAGCCTATTGTTTTTCATTATGTGTTTACTGCAATATATAAAATGTGTGTAAACCTACACATTTGGTTTGGATACATCATTACTCGACTTCGTGTTTTGTGGACATAGGATTTATAAAAGTTGAATCGGACTGGGATAGTGGGACACAACAGCATATTGATGTATTACCCCTTTCAAGCATGAGACTTCAAGGTAACGTCTGTTTGATACCATTACATTCACGTTTACGGTAATAAAATGCATTAACCAGCACGTCATTGAGGGTATTATGAAGGGATGACATACACCTTAGTTACACTGACTAAATTAGGAGTGTCCTTCTGATGGAACTCTTGAAATCTGAGTTACAATGCTGCTAACACAAAAGGCAATAATAAACAACAGATTTCTGTAATGTCTGAACTCAATTCTGAGGTATGGATACGTGATCACGGCCTTGATTTTTGCAATAACATAAATAAATATCTCATGTAATCTATCCCATAGGTTAGGGACATTGCAACCTGCGAACCCTACACCTTTAGCCATTAGCCGTCCAAGGCAAGTGGTTCATGAATGTTAACACAAATCAAACATTAATGCATTCAACTACTACCTTCTGGAACACATCGACGGTGACGTTGAATGTGTCAGGAACAGCCATCTCTACTGTGTCCTGTCCATCCGATGTCCAGGCCTGAGATGTTATGTCTCCGTGTAGCGATGACGATGCCTCAAACTGCTGCGCTACAACCGGTTAAGCATTGACATTTTAAATACAGGATGAGTGGTGCCGATGCAGATCTTGAAGGGAGAAGCAGATGTTCCAACTTTCAGCATACTACCATACATTATAATAAAGGATTGTTTCACCAGAAACGTAGCATTACGCAACGTAGGCAAATATAGGGCATAAGATAAGGCTAATAGATCTCTCTATATTGTGTATCTATTCACGTATTGCTTTAAATAAATATATTGATAAATGTCTCAGGATAAATATCAGAAAACAAGACTTCACAAACGTTTTGGGGTACGAGAAGTCTATCAAATTCCAATTAAGGTTGTTCATACTATGACAAGCTAAATGTGACACACTTCTAAGTGTAGTCTATCATCTCTATTGTCGTGCCATAGACTATAGACTAGGAAATATAGCAACTGAATCTTGTTAGTATCACAATGTCAACACTGCACGTTACACAAAAGGATCCATGTCGATCTATATCCCTTTCATCACATTAGTACACAATAGGTTATCTAGGGTTATCGATTTAGTGATCAGGCATTCACCATTGACAGGATAAGAATATTATCACTGAAACATTACGAAATATTGTAATAAAGTCTATCGCCTCTATTGTCATGCCATAAATTTAGAAACTAGAAAATCGAATCTTGTTAGTATCACAACATTGACACCGCATATTCATTATAAACCTATGCCAACATCCCTTTCATCACATTAGTACACAAATACTCTCAGATGATTTCACGGGGTAGTAAAGACGTTAATCTACACAGTAAACTGCACATGTACTCACATATTGTATATCTGCCACTTGCTCTGAACCCTGTTCTGCCTCTACCAGACCCTCTGGAGTAACCAAAGACACTTGCCAGAGCTTGTGTGTTGTAAGCAAGAGATAGCTCCACTGGAGGTAGTCGCCTGACTACAGCCACGGGTATACGGATGAGTTCTATCGGACCAGTCTCCCACAAGGGTGCTGTATAGTTCACACCCATCTCCTGGCTGAACTCTACTTCAATATCAGCCCGTAGTTGGGATTCACCTTCGAGCTGTAGGGCACGAATTATATATGTGAATGTGTATCCAAGTAGTTTATGTTACTTCAGTCAGAATATAGCAGCTGTGTCATTAATTTATCAAAGGATGATATTACAGAGAAAGATTTACTAAAAATGCTATTGAGTTCGTGGTTGAGTGAGTGATTTCATATTTAACGTCACATAGGCAATATGTCAGCCATATCGTGACGAGAACAATTTATACATCAATATTTAAATCATTAAATGTAGAACGTAAAAACCTGTCATCGAAAGACTAAAACTGCTAACATAAATAATTAAACAATCGTAAGAAATAACGCATTGAAAAATATTGTATATTGAGATTGATGTAACATGTTTGTCATGTTATTAGCCTGATACGTCTTACCTGTGAAATGTATTTCACCAGTTTCGGCTTGTTGTTTACCTTCTTTATGAGTAGTTCACTGTAATAATAAAGTATAAAGTTCTGCTTGACAAATTCAAGACACTCTATATATTAGTAAGTAACACCACCTGGGAAATTTTAGATAGCGAGTCCGCAAGCTTCAATGATGCTCCGATCGTATATGTCAGTGCCAATCACGATTGGGAACGTAAGCCTCTCAGATGAATATGTGGTAATTGTATTCACTTACATTGAAGCATTCACAGCATGCTTCTACCAAATACTGCCAACTGCTCGCCAGACTGCCAACAACTTGCTGGTCATATCATTACGAGTGACTTGACAATAAAACCCTTTGTTGGATATCCAACATTGCCCACAATATCGTGAGCAGTCTCTTGCAAATTGGGATCACAACTATGAAATCATTATATGTCTGTATGTGGCAAAGGAATGGCTGAAAAGAAACGAGGAAGCTGATGGATATTTTTCAACTTTCGGAGTGGGTCAACGCTTGGTTGTGTCATTGGTATAATGCACACAGCGAAATAGAGAAAACCCATGCTGTTCCATTCAACCGTCATTCAGTCCGGCTGCCCCACATTTCTTAAAAGACTTTCCACCCCACTTGACAAACCTCATGGAAGGCGTGAGTATAGCAATATCGACACTGTAGCAAAACATTTTTTGTTGACTTCCTCATTGATAACATAAGTGTAAAAATTAAGGTGAGACAGTTAATCAACATGTCTCTGCTATTCTTGAACGGTGTCGACTTGACTTGTATTTGTTGTTTCCAGGCTACAATCTAATATTCCCGCAACTTTAATGCTTCGTCAGAATCGACGAAATAGAAGGCGGGTCGGGCTCGACGACGTAGGTGATTACCTGTCATCGAACCACGAGCTTTTACAATATCAATCACTTGTTTTTTAACGCCGCAGTATTCCAGCAATATATCGGCGGTTTGTAATAATCTTAACCAGACATTCCAGTGATTGACGTCATGATCTACACTGACACGAGTCTACCAAGTCAGCGAGTCTGACCACCCGATCATTTCTGACGACAAATGTGGGTTTTTTGAAGACCATTTCTCACCCTGATCTTCACAGGAATTATCAATCACTAGATTATAAGGTCAACACTCGATTACGTACACGCAGTCGGTATGTAGCTGTAGCAATGTTGAGTTCCACGTTAAAACAACTAAGAAAATGAAATATAGTTGCTCTCTAGCTCTGTCTGGTGTGATCACATAGTTAAGCAATATATCAACATACTCACAACACATATGACATGTCTGTTCCCCCATGACAATCCATGCACCTCACAGTGAAGTCATCCTTCAGCATGAGAAGGTCTTCTTGCGACGGAGAAAATGTCACATTTACCTGTCTCGCACCTGAGGTCTTGTGGACTGCAAAGTATTTGTCTGGGGCACTGCTTTGATTATGATGTTTATTGAAGGGTATTCTGGTTGAGAAATTGGCGTGCCAGTCGAGATTCCCGAGTATTTTGGTGAGGATATTCGACAGGTAACGGCGATGACGCTGCTTGGTTTCAACGGGCAGATCCGATCGTCCAGGGCTGTAGCGGAAGTGAATGTTGGCTTCCTCTATCATGTCATAAGGCCTTGAAATGAAAAAATAGCCATTATATTTAGTTATGCTACACTTTCATCTTTAGTGAATCAATATCATAAAAATCAATAAACACCTTGGGTACCTATAGGTACACAATCAACAATGAGGCTTAGTGACTGGACAGGTAGACAGCATGAAACAAGAGAACAGTATTGAACAGGTTTGGCTGTATCCTCAAAGGGGGGTTAAAGTATTGTATAATTATTGTCCACCTGATTGTAAATGAAACCGTCAAATTGTGTGTTTGAGAGAGAGAGAGAAAGAGAGAGAGAGGGGGGGGGGGGAGTGGGGGTGGTGTACACTCACCCAGCAGAGACAATGTGCATGGAAATACGATATTCAGTAGGAAAGTAGATGCTGGAGATCTTAGCATAGATCCCATCTCCACCAGATCCCTGTGACGCATTACACCTCCACGATGTGCTCCCCAGGATGAGCTGACCCACTCTCCAGTCCCTGCCCACATCCTTCTGGGTGGTCACCAACAGGATCCTGTCATCCACACACACGAGGCGCTGGAAAACATGTGTCCTCTCGTGATCTTTCTTGTTACTAATTATTGAAAATGAAGTAATGTCGAGTTTCTGCCAGTATTTATTGCTTAAATTCACAATCAATTCAAAATGCACGAAAAGAATAAGCATAAACATTCAATGATGTTAGGATAGCTGTTGAAAGTGTTTTCCAAATAACAGCATATTGTGGGCGATATCCACTGATAACAGAAGAAATTATACAGAACAGCGTGTCACAATATATTCCTAACATATGAGAAAATCACTGTGCATGCATGGATATGAAATGTTATTGACAACAACACATGCCAGCCCATGTCAGATTTGATCACTTGGTTCCCTGTCATACATGTAGATATGATCATATTATTTATCTAATTTATTAGAAATTGTCAGACAAGAACGTCTCGACAAAAATCAAATTGTGCGAAAGAAATGTATAATGCTATCTATGACCGGTGAAATGTTACAGATAAATATGTTTTGATTTTTATTGCTTTGAACAACATTTAATCATTTTGGCCTGGCACGACTGCGGGACGCAACTCGAAATGCGCAACGGAATATGGCGCCTTAGTTATTACAGAACCATCCGCATCCATGAAGTATCAGATAACACCTAACCTAACAGATCGTACGTCTCAGTTCAATGTAGGGGCTATGGCTGCAATATTGCCGATGTGACGTTAAATAATAACTCACTCACTCACTCACTCAATGTAAGGGCGACGGGGTAGCCTAGTGGTTCAGGCGTTCTCTCGTCACGCCGAAGACCCGGGTTCGATTTCCCACATGGGTACAATGTGTGAAGCCTATTTATGGTGTTCCCCGCCGTTATATTGCTGGAATATTGTTAAAAGCGGCGTAAAACTAAACTCACTCACTCAGTTCACTATAATTATCATATTTACACAAATTCACTTGCAACCGTTGACACCCACATACCTTTAGTCCAACAACACTATCAAGATCAACAACATCACTGAGGACACCAGAACTGTGAAGCTTGAACCGTTCTCCGTTGTCGTCAGTTGTGAAGTCCACGTTGTGGTGGAAGGAGTTGTCGGTAGAATGACTGTCGTGTGGGAACAGCCCCGATATAACAAAGAAGAAAACCAGACGCAACATGGCAAGCCTGCGGTGTGTTCAGCTTTACACCACGGTCTGTCATATACGCGTGATCGGCAACTGGGTCTTTCTGTCACTCACGTTGCTCGTAACGCCTGCTAAACTGCTGTAAGTGCATTGGATAATAAAAATAACTTGTCAGTATATACAGTAGGCTGTTAGCTAAGGTTCCTCCAGAGCTGCGCGTACACCGCTATCATGAAGAGAGCTGGCTGGGTTGGTGCAGCCCTCCTGCTACTGTGCTCATACAGTCAGGGGTATTTCTTCCAAGACGACTACGACCATCAGTATACCTACTCCTCTGTGTCGGAACTGTTCGGCCATAAAAATATCACCACTGTTCTGAAGGTAAGTTTTAATAATTATACTGTAATGTTAAGAAGTATTTTCATGGGTTCATTCAGCTCCTGACATTCAAAACGTATTTGACGACAGGACCACATAGAAGTAGTATTAGTATTATTAGTGGTGGTGGTGGTGGTGGTAGTAGTAGGAGTAGTAGTAGCAGTAGTAGTAGTAGTAGTAGTAGTTGCGGAGGTGGTGGTAGCAGCAGTATGTGCGCCAACTCATTGGAACGACTTACGTTTATTGGGACTCCAAGCTTGAATGGTGGGACACTATTGTAGTAGTAGTAGTAGTAGTAGTAGTAGTAGTAGTAGTAGTAGTAGTAGTAGTAGTAGTAGTAGTAGTAATAGCAGTAGGGCATGGCAGTTTATAACTAGAATATATAGACTAAAAACGTTTTCAAAAACATATTTACATGTATGAGACATCCAACCTCGGTATGGTTTCTGTTTTGACTGTTTAAATTTTGTTCACATGGTAAATGGTTCGGCAGCCGTACTGGATTAGAGATTTTACGTGTTTCCGGCACGCTATTCTGACTTTTCAAACTTTAACTGAGTACGTGTACCAGTATGGCGCGTGTGTGACATATCTGTGATCCCGATATAACCAAAATCAAAAGGCTAAGACAAAGGGAATAGGGGTCTGAGGTCGAAAATGATTTAGGTCATATAGAACACGTTTATTCATGAATACAGCGGGCGGTGGTGTAGCCTAGTGGTTAAAGAGTTCGCTCGTCACGCCGAAGACCCCTGGTTCGATTCCCCAGATGGCTACAATGTGTGAAGCCCATTTCTGGTGTCCCACGATACTGCTGGAATATTGCTAAAAGCGGCATAAAACCATACTCACTCACTCATGAATGTAGACCATCTTGCTAAGAGTTCATTTTCATGCAGTATATACGCAGTGTATGTACATGCATTAACTATTGTGAAATATATTTTATACCTGGAATGATACATGTCTATTAAATTAAATCCATAGGTTTAGAGGTACGCTTTCATTAGTGGCAGATAAAAAGCTTATGGATTTGTAAAAATTGTTTGCGCAACACTGATGTCATTGATTTCATATACTGTAATATGTTTTATCACTGAATTGCATGGGTGTTTTGGAATATTTTCAGTTCAAGATCAGAGCCCTCAATACGACAGAGGATGGAGGGAGACTGCATTCGTTACGTGTGATCAGTATAGTGCAGTTTGCAGATGGCAGATGTGAGTATATCTTTTGTTAAACAACATCTTGATACATATTATGCAACCCTAAAATAACCCCGGTCATAATATTTACTCACTCGTGAAGATCCGGGCCAGAATTGATATTGGCGTAAGAGCCGATAACCCAATGCTTGTCGTAAGCGGTGACTAACGGGATCGGGTGGTCAGACTCGCTGACCTGGTTGACACATGTCATCGGTTCCCAATTGCGTTGATCGATGCTCATACTGTTGTTGACTGGATTGTCTGGTATAGGCTCGATTCTTACAGACCGCAGCCATACAGCTGGAATATTGCTGAGTGCGGCGTAAAACTAAACTCACTCACTCACTCATTATATTTACTCAGACAACGCTGATCGTAAAAGGCCGAGTAGACTTAGAATCGTTCTGCCTCAATGTGTCACCTACCTGATACGTGTATTCAGTATTTTAACAAATCTGTTCCCCTATTTTGCAGACTTCAGTAACCCCAAAGGTTGGAATTTGAAAACAATGTGAGTGTCTTTACAAATCTTTCCTGACAATAATATCAAATGTACAGTTTGGATTTGTGCACAAGTCTTAGGGTGTTTTGTAAATACGAAGTGAGAGAGTTAGAATTTTACATCAGCATTATTTCAACCATGATGTGACGAGAAAAGATTATATTTGCTAACGGAAAGAAGTAACTTTGCACAACTTAAAATTGCATAAAATAAACGTTGTTTGAAAAGTTATAAACATAACCCTAAATAAACATGTAGCGAAACACTACCTGATATTGAAGAACAGTTGATTATTTTCCAGCCTCTGAATGTTTTGGAAAACACGTTATGCCAACCTAAACTGCGCGTACGTCATGTTACGGCTTACAGAAATTCAGCGTCTCCGCGCCGTGGGTATGGCCCAAAATAATGTAGTGAGATATTTTGTTGTCCATTGAAGACTATCTCATATCTATGTCAGCATAATGGGGACACGAAAGATTTACCTCGAACCAGCCGTCCACGTCAGCAAGGCAACCACATTCGGCTGACCCATCAAAGGAATCGATTCCGAACTACCATTTTGACTGTTCAAACCATTCCTGGCTTACGTCCAATCAGCTCCAGGACTGCACGGAACCGACTGAGGGAGCATAACATCCGCCCTCTCTAATTTTGCCCCAACGTCACCGACATGCATGTCTTGCCTGGTGCAGCTAGCATCTATGGTGCAGGAGACAAGATTGAGATGGGATTTTGTTTACTTACGAATCGACATTTCATCTGAATAGCTCCGATGGCAGGGCAAGGATGCACAGACGGCGATGTGATTTGTATACTGACGCGTGCGTTGTTCAACGTCGACAGTTTGGTGGCGACAAGGTTATGCTATGGGGAAACATCAGTAGATAAAAAGGAAGATGTATTGCACCACATAGGTGGTACTCTGACGTCACCAGTGTACTTATGGACCATATGTCAACAATGGGTTGAATAGGTATTGTCCTTATGTCAACAGTGGGTTGAATAGGTATTGTCCTTATGGACAACAGTGGGATTGAATGAACTGGTGTTTGTTTATATGCGCTGACGTAATTAACGATTCGACCCTTCATTAATGGAAAGCAATGCGTAGTAATTAATCGTAGTAGCATGACCATAAATGTAAGTCGTTAGAACTGACTCATGCAGAACGGAATGTCTTCGTTCCATTCGCTAACAAACCTGACCTGCTGAATAATGATGGGTTGCACTTGTGGAAATATCAACGCCGTCTAGCTTCAATTCCTTCCTTACTCGTTATAAGACGTCTCGTGTTATTTCCATGTCTGCTAGCTGAAAACCTCGCCTCTGTTCGTTATAACGAAATCAGACCGTATATATCTCTCACATCTGTGTCAACACTTGGTGTTTAATGTCTTATTCGTCCTGAAAAGAAGAGAACAAGACTTAAACCTTAATACATTTGTACAAAACATTTCTGTCATCGCATAATGCTAAGTACATTTTATTTTACATTAATGTATGTGCATGTCCTTGAACATATACCTAGCGATGTCAGTCCTGTGGAATTTCAAAACTGTCGGATAACAGCTATTTAATACGTTCTCATTATGAAATCTAACGTCGCGATCATATCTTCTAAATAGAAAACCATAGTTTACCTTAGTCAGAGAACACATAATGTCATGTTGCCGGTTTCAGTTATATTTCCACCCCAAGTAACTAGACATAGGTGTGATCAGAATACAGATGATACGGAGTGATGTATTTTACCCGTGTGTGTGTTTTTGTGTTTGTGTGTGTGTGTTTTTTTTGTTGTGTGTGTGTTTTTTGTTTGTTGTGTGCCTAGGCATTCCTATTCAAATCAGCTGAATATTGGCATGGGCTATTGAACGAATAGTATGAAATACTTTGAACGTTACAGCAAAAGACAAAAAAACAACCCAACAACAAAAAACAAATTAAATTAATTTATACTTGAGGAAAATAATATACACAGAAAGGGAGAGGTCAATAATATGCACGATAACATTAATGTATTAATGTATTAACACGCTCCTGTCAAGTCCTGTACAGTGACAACTCATCCAGAATCTCCCTGGTTCAATGAGGACATTCGTGCTGCTAAAAGATAGAGGGCAAACTTGAGCGCCAGTACAGGAAGACCAAGCTTGAGGTGCACAGACAGATACACAATCAGCTGTGCAACAAACTGGCTTCCCTTATTGAAGCTGCTAAATGCAAGTTTTATAAAGAGGCTTTAAGTCAGGCGACTGGTCAGAAAGAGGTTTTTCAAGTTGCCAACCGGCTATTCTTTAAACAGAAATCTCTTGTTCATCCTTCTCACGTATCCCTGGAGGAGCTGGCGAACCGGTTTTTCATCCTTCTTTAGCGAGAGAATAAGAACTATTCGTCACTCACTTCGTAATAGTGATGATTCCCGAGCTGATCACCAAGCAATGATCCTTCCGAAATTAGCTTCCAGTTTTTGAAAACTTCAAATCAGTGACAGAAGTGGAAATTCATAAACTTGTCTCAAGATGCCTTTCAAAAACGTGCATGCTTGATCCTTTGCCCATTTGACTTCTCAAGAAGAATGTTGATTCTCTTCTCCCTAAACTGACTTACATGGTCAATGAATCGCTTGCGGAGGGCGTTATGCCCCAACAATTAAAGTTGGACTGGCCACCCCGCTCATCCAAAAGATGAGTGTCTGTCAAGCCACTCGATTCTGCCTCTACATCTTTCACATTCACAGCAGTCCAGGAATGTGTTGACTGTATCAATATTTGGATGTCAGCGCACTGGTTCAAATTAAATGACGACAAAACCGAGCTCATCGTTTGCAGGCCCCGGCGGCTCCGGGCAAAACTTGATCTTCCCACTTTCTCTATTGGGCACTGTGAAATCACACCAAGTTCTCAAGTCCGGAATCTTGGTGTAGTATTTGACTCATCTCTCTGCATGGAACCACATGTCAACAGTGTTTGACGCAGCGCTTATTTCCACATTCGGAATATCGGCCTGATCCGCAGGTACCTTGACGAGAAAACAACGAGTACCCTGGTGCAGGCGCATGTAACATCACGCATTGATTACTGCAACTCGTTACTCTGTGCTATTCCAAATCATGTGCTACACAAACTACAGAGAGTCCAGAATTCAGCGGCAAGATTGATCAGCAGAACAAAGAAAATTGACCACATTACCCCTGTCATGAAAACTCTCCATTGGCTCCCAATCAAATTCAGAATCCAATACAAAGTATTGCTTCTTGTTTTTAAATGCATCCATGGACTGGCTCCAGGGTATCTTTCACAACTTGTAAAACCCGATCTCTTCGCTCCAGTGACCAATCTCTTCTGCAAATTCAATGTACAAGAACAAAGTCTTTTGGTGACCGAGCATTGTTTTCAAATGGTGCAAAACTCTGGAAAAATCTACCACAAAAAAATCGATTACTGACTGAACTTACTTCCATGTATGTATGTAAACATTTATAAAGTCAAAATGTCATGTGAATTGCCAGTTTACTAAATTTTATTAGCTATAGTGGGGATTACTAGAGAAATATGAATGTTCTTTTATCCCAGAAAAACGTTTAAAATTGTAGTGAGTGGTCAGCCCCATTCACATCTTAGGGTTGGGAAATGTTGAAAATATACGACCTGTCACCCCTCCTTTTATCTGATTACTTCATAGTTTTATATGTATTACGTGTAATCATTGTAGATAGTGAGTGAGTGAGTTATTATTTAACGTCACATCGCCAATATTGCAGCCATATCGTGACGAGAACACATTTGACATTGAAATGGAATATATGTATATTATAAAAACCTGTAGACGAAGGACAGTAAAACAACTAGAATATCACAATTAGAATTAAAACTAGCGTGGAAAATTAAACTAATAGCACTATTTGGACAATACAATATATAAACTGGCTATAGATCGCCAAAAACTGAAGGTGGATCACCATACCAGGGACTATGGGGACTTACATTACCTTTGCTACCTACGTGGACCCTAGTTGGATTTACACCATCCCTTCAGCTATTAGCAATTTTAGATCAACCAGCGACAAATTAAAAGCACATATATTGTACGATTAAAAGGTTTGTAGGTTTTAATTGACTTTGAATATTTTGGGACTTACGTACCCTCTCAGGAGGACAATTATTTTACAGTACTTTAACCCCCTTTGAGGGTACATCCACTCACAATCTAAGTTACTAATTTAAACTACATATCATAAAAATACATCTATCTACGGAACATATTGATCAAAATTCATTAATTAAATCAATTTCTTTTAAAAAACCAAGAATTAAATGAAAATGAACAGTACTAAAAAGATCCTTAACAGTTTTAACATTGAAATATTTATCCCTCATGATGGATAATTCAACACAGTCAAGCAGGAGATGCTTGACTGTGACTCTGTCATCACAAGGGATACAAAACGGATTATCTTCACCTTTTAACAGATATTTGTGAGTATACCGCGTATGGCCAATGCGACACCGTCGCATAATGACCTCCTCAAATCTGGACTGACAACCCAAGTAGGTGTAACCAATATAAGGTTTTATTTCATGTAATTTAGTGATACCTACTTGGGTGTCCCACTTCTTCTGCATCAGATCACGGATAAAAGATTTAATAGCAACTTTGTAATCAGAGTATGGAATAAGAAGGGGTATCACAGATGTATTGAGTGCTGCCTTAGCAGCAAGATCAGCCATTGTCTTCCCAGAAATGCCAACGTGGCTGGGTAACCAACAAAAGACGATATTGCATTGGCCAGTAGCAAGATCATTATACAATTCAATAATCTCTATTAAAAGTGGATGTTTACAAGAAAGATTTTTAAAAGCCTGAAGGCACGAAAGAGAATTAGAAAAGATTATGTATTGTTGATGTTTAGTGTGTCTTTGAATATATTTAAAAGCCGTTAATATGACGTTTGCTTCTGCTGTAAAGGTAGAGCTGTTATCCGTTTTTTCTAGAAGATATTGTTCGGGATCCAATGGCAGTGGCACATGCCACCGCGCCATCATCTTTGGATCCATCTGTAAATAAGGATTTTTATGTATTATATTTAATTTTTAATTAATTATATTCTTGTTTATATTGTAATTCATTAGTTTCTGATTAGTAAAACTTTGTCTGAGTAAGGTCAACTTCAGGCCTCACTAATTGCCAAGGAGGTGAAGAAAGAAGACAGGAAGGAGCTATATTTTCAAGCTGAATGCTGGCAGCAGAAATGAATGGTTTATTTCTGAGCCCAAGAGGCGGAACAAGAGAAGATTTCCTAGTGTATAAATCCTCATAGAGGGGGATTAAAGACACAGTTATATGCAGGGTTAGATTTGTTACATTGTAGATAGAATTAGATAGGATGGGTTTCTCAATTAATCTTACTGTGCTAGAATATTTCATAAGAATATGTCGGACTTTGTGTTAGTAAATATATGATGCTAAAACAAACACTAGCAACTGCCTGTCTACCCTTTTCTGATAGGTGCATAGTTTTATATGCATTATGTATAATGATTACAGATATTACATTTTGTCAAGTGATATTTCTTTTTATAAATCCGGTAAATTTTCGTGGATAATTATTTTCGTATGAAATCCAAACATATAAATAATGTTGTGTTAAAATATTGCATTAGATTATGTCGTATTATGTGTACATATGTCAGACTTTGTGTTACTAAGTGTATGATACACAAAAACAAAGCTAGCAAAGAGAAACAGTGTACCGCTGTGACACACAGACTGAGCAAATCATATCCAGATGAACTGTTAACTGAACTGAACTTTTTACACTCGGGACCGCAAACAGCGACGTGGGAGGTTACAGACATTTACACAAATATGTTTTTCACATCTGAATTGTTAGTTACATTTTAATTTGGGGAGAATAAGGCGTTTTTGATTCTCATGGGAATAATACACCCCACCAGTCACGTGGTTTCATGTTCCTCTTTGACTTTGAGCCAAGATATGTACTTTATAACGTCTGTGTCCATATTGCTGTGAATACCGTTTGTATTCATTAGTTTGTATGAGCAAGTTGAGTGAGTGAGTGTAGTTTTACACCACACTCGGCAATATTCTCGGCGGTCTGTAAATACTCGAGTCTGGACTAGACGATTAAGTGATCAACATCATAAGCAATTAGGACGTGTCAACCAAGTCAGCGAGCCTGACCACTCGATCCCGTTAGTCACATCTTACGACAAGCATGGTTTGCTGATGATCAATTCTAACCCGGATCTTCACGGGCAGTGAGCAAGTTGATCTACGAGTCATGACTTAAAACAACGGAAAACTCGATTTTAAGCGTGAGGTGTAAGACTCGGGTGCACTGCTCTAAGCCCCAATTATATTGGATTTCAGAATTTCTCAATGCTGTGAACGACTTAAAATTCCCTGTCGCACCTGCAACACTCCCTGTTATGAATTATTACTACTTATTAGTAATAATTATTAATGGAGTATTAATTGCAAGTACTAAGGCATTGTTTGGTAAAGGTATGCATGTATAATAAGGTTATATCTAAAACCGGAACCACGTAATTCCTGGCGTTAAACATGAAATAAAATATACAGTAATGACATATATTAGAATGGAATGCTACGTCCTTTGTGCTGGTGATCGGCGAGATTCAAATATTTACAAAAGGTCATGTTCTGAGCAGACGAGAAAGAGGGAATGCTCATATGGATGCTTCTATTTTTATTCCTCCATATTTTGATTTCTACTTGATATCATTTCTGGGATCTCATGATTTCTCGATTTCCACCATGTGTGTATCTTAAAATGTCTCTCAGGTAAATAGTTCTGCCAGTTTGGTTAATCCAGTTAAATTGTAATATGTCGTGTTGAAATATAGCCATGTTAATTCAGTTGTCACATGACTATGTTTCTTTGATATTTCTATACACCCATCGACACCCCATCCACAGATTCATAGGCAAGATGACTTAATGATATAGTAAGGGTCTGCTTGATGACACAGGTCGGAAAAGTAAAATGAAAGCAAAAAAAGTAGTAATAGTAATATTCCGCTTATATGGCGCTCATATCCAGGCACATTGCCTGCTCACGGCGCTACGTACATTACTATCCCCGGTCATAGGACACTATCGTACTTTCCGATACTTCGTCAACTCCTTGGGGAGTATACAGCCATGCTGCCTGTTAGGCGCAACGAACTAAACACTCACATTGCCAGCACATCCTCACGGGTACCCATTTTACAGCTGGGTGAACTAAGACAATTTGGATCTAAGTATCCTGTCAAAGGATACTACGCAAATGTGCCCACCTCGGGACCCGAACCTAGGTGCCTCCACTGGGGATCGAATTCGGGTCTTCAGCGTGATAGGCAGACGCCTTACCTCTGCACTACTGCGCTCCACGCATTCTGTATGTTTTTTATTTCTTGATATACATCTTCCAATGATAAATGCGTGACAGATAATGTCTTTTTTGTTGTCATATTTATTGTACAGATGAAAGATATTTTCTATCCCGGAGGTCCCAACTCGGCTGATTTCCTCACGTATAGAACCAGACGTTTCTTTGGCGTTGAGGTGTTGGTATCATCGGGATGATGCTGTTTGGGCTTCATGGCAAGTAATTCCGGATGCGTTTTCAATACATGGACGAGTCCAGATCTCCTTCTTGCATCTCGGCTTTGTGGTTGATGCTTCCGTGCCATTATGATGGTTTACTGATGTCAAATGAAGGTAAGTAAGCTTGCTCAAGGCGCTGGTATTTTTTCCCTCGATCACTGGATGTCAATCTCAACGGCACATGATATTATCAATCTCAACTCCCTGGGTGTGTATACAACTCTTGCAGCCACTAGGCGCACCGAGTTATTGTGGCTTTCTCATCCTAACGAGGTACCCATTCACAGCTGTCCAAGTTCACTGCACGTTGCTGTACCCACAACTAGGTGTTTGCACGTATTCATGTGGCCACCATCTGGTCATATACCAACAGATTCGTGGGCTCTTTTAAGTGCACAGGGTTGTGTACTGTACACTAGGGGTTGTCACAACACTGAAAGAGTCTGCACACAAAGTTGATTCCAAGGTTTTTACACCCGGTCACAGATGGGCTCGATCCCGACACCTCAACCTCGCTGGATCACTAAACTGGCGCCTTAACCAGCTCGCCCACCGCGCCCACATGCTAGCATATCCCAATTGCGTAGATGAATGCTCATGCTGTTGATCACTAGATTGTCTTGCCCAGACTCAATTATTTACAGACCGCCGCCATATAGCTGGTATAATGCTGAGTACAGCGTAAACCTAACTCACTCAATCAGTCGTTGGCCGCATCGTATAAGTATAATTTTCCCGCTATGCATGGTAGTAGAATTGACTGCCAGACTGACTTTAGGGTAGTCATCACTCATTTACCCTTGACTAAACACGAGCATCTGTGCTGATTAAATATTGCATCCCCAGCATCTGTTTTGAGTCATAAGCCAAGATTCAAACTGGTTGTATCAAGCCCGACAACTATATCCTGCCAACACAAGTCTTCCATGGATTGCATCATCCAACATGCAACACGAGTTTCTGCTCCAATTCAACTAGCATTTGAGAATTCAGCCTAAACTCAAACTGATTTCATAGCGCCTGACACTGATACATTGCTATTGTGCCATGTGCTGTTCCACCAAGACAACTGGTCATTCTACGACCAGAGAATAATCTTACTGTCATATTGCAATAACTCGTTTAGAGCTGTCGACAACTCTTCACCCGATACAGCATAATTTTTCATCAGAGGGCTTTTAGTGGTCATCAGTTGACTTTCGCGCTGTCACGTGATGCTAAAGCTTGCTTTTAACTATACGAGTCACATTATTATTACGTGTTCAGCGCTAAAGACTGAACAACGAATGCCACGACAATATTATTTGATAATTAATACAGTGCCAAGAGCCTCCAACTGATTATTACCATACCACGATATGTTAGTAAAATGTGAGAAACGAGTGAACGAATGCAAAAAAGTACTCACCAAAAAACTGGTTAGCACACTGTCGCCAGAGTCTTAGCCAAACAAAGGGCCAAGTCGTCCGTGGGTACAAAGGTGAAGATGTACGATGTACGACGCGCCCTTGCATTTGGAATGTCATCGTCAACTACAACCAGCCGACAAGGTTCTTAGATTCAATGCTGAGATATTCTTTCAATTATGATGAGATATATGTTTAAGTTGCAGAAGAAAGCGTCCCTTGAACATAAAGGTATTCTGCTTTTTTACACTTGATCATATGACTTGTTACTGTGGGTGTGGTGTAAAGTGCGGCGGCCGTATCTACTTATGCATGCGTACCATCATGTTTCATTTCATATGTCAATATGTGCAGGTCCTGCTGCCTTGCCACTGGGTGACATTTGCTGGATACTTCTTCTGATTCTTTAGATGTCTTTGTAAGGTTTTATTACACTCCTTGCAGATTCCTGTTTCGGACCAGTACTAAAGGATCTATTGACCTGGTCCATGTCCATCCTGAAGACGAGGACGAGCTGGTGGTCATCAAGAAAGCTGTCACCAGTTTCTTCTCTGTTACCGTCAGGGTATACACTGAGACACTAAATGCAAATATTCAACGTTAGAAAAAAAAGCATTATGATCTCTGAGAAAAATGATGTCATTGGATGTAAAAGGCCAAATACATATAGAAATCACATGCATGGCTATAAAAATATAGATATTATCATAAACACTTGCCAGCGATGAGCTAATTCATTTTATATAATGCATGTTTTTAGATTTAACATGTTTACACACTGGCTACTCTCCAGAACATTTATCCTCTACAATAAAATCATGTCTACGTTCTGTTGTACGTTTATGGTGCTTTTTGTTAAGTTATACCGATTATGTAGTGCGGCGTAGATCTGCATATATTTTGTGTCATTGTTGTCAAGGAATCTGGAGAGAGCACCGACTCCTACGAAACAACAGATCTAGATCATCTGGGTAAGTTATCCTTTGAACTCCCTGCAACATCATGGGTTGAGGACGAGCAAAAGTTAAACGGTATGGATAGTTGATCTTACGACATGCACACGTTCAGCACAGATACGAGGTCGCTTGCGGCCTAGTAGTTTAATGCCTAAGCACCAGGTAAATAGAGTTGAAGACCCGGGTTCGATTCTCCACGAGGGTGCAATATGTGAAACCTATCTCTGGTGTCCATCGCTATGATATTGAGCGAATATTGTTAATAGTGGCGTAAAAACATATTTATATCGCACAACATTTTACATATAGTTTACATATACACCAACATTTACTTCAACATCAACACACGCTTTGGTTTACGTATCCAGGCAGTCTGACACACAAGTACAAAGTGGATACGACGCCGTCCGGAAGAACACTGACTCGTTCCCACTTCAGCCATGACAGGGCAGAGAGAACTCATAACAAGGTAAGGCCCCTCTTTATATTGGTTTTCGGTTCTACAGATAATTCTGTGATAACATGATGTTGCAGATTAGACGAGTCAATTTTCTATTATTGCGAGACTGTCGCAGTCCTGATTGTTCAACAATAATTCCTAAGCCATTGCAATGCACAAAACGTTTGCTCTTTGTTCCTTATGTATAACGACTCCTTCAGCTCTTCAGTAAATTAATCGACAAGTCCCTGCAATGAACTCCTTAACCCGATATCTGGACATTGAAAATTACCCTTCATCTTTGCAAAATGTTGTTAAAATGCCAATGCCCAAAGATGGCTGATAATGTACGGATCTTTCTAATATTGCTTACTAGCTGTGTTAAGCTGTGACCATACGAATGTCAAACACGGAATAATAACTGATTAATATCATACTTAGGAACAAATAATCTTATTACTAATATCCAGGGTGCTTTAGAATGACAAATAAAAGTACCACCGACCATTTGTTTTCCTTGGAAACTTTAGTCAACACGAATCACTATCCCCGTCCACGGGCACATTAGAATTGTTATTGATCATATAGTAATGAATAATACAGAAGTAAATGTCGACTTTTTAAAACAGCCACATGAAGCCTTAAGATTAGGTGGGCACTATTATCGCTGTATGCCACCAGAGACGAATAAATGTGAAATAGAGACAAAAGTCCCCTTCTTCGAAAAAAAGGGCGGTAGGGTAGCCTAATGGTTAAACCGTTCGCTCGTCACGAAGAATACCCGTGTTCGATTCAGTACATGAGCACAATGTGTGAGGCCCATTTCTGGTGTCACCCGCCGTGATATTACTGGAATAACTCTCTGTAGAAAATATCAATTCACAGCACATCTTGAACATCCTTCTTGTAACTTCAGTAGTTTTTGAGAATACTTGTCCTGTTCAAGCGAACATAACAATAAATGGACCATAAGTCTGTTATAAGAAAAGCTGCTTGCAAGGGAAATAACTCTGGAAAAAAATTAGAAATGAGTCTTGATAGTTGTCTCTTTCATGACTAGTAACTTTGAAGGTTTCATGCGGTTTGCACGAAAGTTGAAAAGCATGGAGGAAGTGCCATTTAACTCAGTATTAACTAATTCCAGACACCCATTTTTCAAATTTATATTTAGGAGATAAACGTAATGTGTTTGAAAATTAGATGAATGTTAGACCGAATTGATAGTCTCTAAATTTCATTTGAAACCAAACGCATTGCAAGAGGTTTCAATTGATTTTATTTATTATATAGAGACTATAAAATATCCGAATTGACGTCTGGGATAAACCGTGGCCGATTTATTTACTATTTAATGTCACTTTACGATCAATAATTAATCAATCATTGATAGTTAATATTGCTGATGTTACTCACAGACCTACCTTTAAACACCGTGTGACGTGACTTGTCATTCACTGACTATCAAGTTGTGTGCGCCAAAGATCCATCTAGACAAATTAACATCATAATACGAATCTTTCTCAAAGTGGTAGGTGACAAGATGTTCTTTAAACAGTACCTAATCAAAACGTATTCGGACATATGGACATGAATTTTGACATTGTTTCCTCGTGTTGTGGCATGAACATCGAATCCACTGTTATTCTATACTACAAGCAGAAAGTATGGGAACACCCGAAAATTTGATATTCATATATGAATTTAAACGTGGTGAGGTCATTTATGATGCAACTTAATGAAACTTTTTGTGTGCTTAATGGTCACTTTAAACGACATGCCGGAACAGACAGTGAAGCAACTGATTCAATATTCGATTTATTCGTTTGAGTGAAATGAAACATTGTCAAAAACAGCGAACAAGGGTGCTCAAACACACCCGCACCATTATTGACTTTCCATGCAGCTTGTGGAAACGGTTGCAGCTTGTGGCAACGTTTGAATCAAACATTTTTGTTTATCTTACATCATACATAAATGTCGTTTTCTGATTGGCTGAGCGCTCTTCTATTATTTCCAATGTACCCCGCTTACAAGTGAGTAACACTATGTACCCCGCTGGGAATGCCGAACTCATTTGGTACTTCGTGGTAGTAATTCTTTATTACTTTATTTAATTTATTAACATTGAATCACGTATGATGTACGGAAATTACCGATGTTTTGCGAATGCAAATCGATGGAAGGTAGATAACTCTAAATCAGTTTTTCTTGGCGTCTGCAAAATCCAGCGATGGCTACAAAAAGTTTTGTACCCGTGCCTCAAACAATTCAAAATTACCACTGAGGTGTTCGGTAAGATAAATACGTTGTTCACTGGTCCCTTGGGGCCCATGGGTTGATGTACAGGGAACATAAACGCATAGATACATCAACCCATGTTCCCCTCGTGACCATTGAACAACTTATATTGTAGTATATATGCGTTCCAATTCCACATGTGCTGTATAACACACATTACATTTGCACAGACTCTACACTATCATGACGACGGGACGTTACACAGAGGTCATGCCTATGACAAGATCCTCCTGAAGGAAAAACACATCAAAAAGGAAAAAGCAAGGTGAAAAAAACACGGCTAGTCTTTCTAATAAAGTCATTGTGATGTTCTTCAATGCAATGTTTCTTACAACATTTTCGTGCATCAATATTGCTGTTGAAAGAGGTAAGATGTTAAAAAAAAACAACAATATCTTTAGGTTAGTCATCAGTATGATCTACATTATCCATATTTCTGTTCTCTCCTGTATAAGAAGAAAATGATATAATATTTCTATATAGCACCTCTGTGCATAAAACAAATGTTTCTCAGTTCCGAATGTTAAGTATCAGTAGAATCATTTAAAAAGAATACTGAGAGCAGCTGATGGTTTTATCTTGTTTTCAAGAGCTTTACAACCGGGCGAGAAGGTCCACGAGATATCAACCTCCGGAGGTAGGTGCTAAAGCTGATATAATACATTTCATTATGCATTATGCATATATTACACTATGAGAATGAAAACATATGTAATATTTATCTTAAGAGGTGTGTCATCATGATACACATATCTACGCAAACAGTTTACAATTCTTCTTTTCAACAGATTTTCCTGAAATATGGACTGCTTCGACAACTAACATGCAACTGGATGGAAGGAGGTTCGTTTTAAAATGTATCTGAAGGATGACGTTTTATTAATAAGTAATGACAGTTTTTTAATAAGTATTATATCTAAAACACATGGAATTATCATGAAACGGCCCTCCTATTATCAGAAATTTGCGGCCCGCTGCAAATGATATTGGACCGCTCAACCTTAACGACGGGCCACTATCAGTTCTGTTGTCAAGTGACGTCATAATGGGTGCGTCGGTTCAATCGACATTGGCTTTGGACTGGCAGATATCCGGGGTCAAACAAGTCAAAGCAACCCGAATTCCCGCTTTAAATAGCGGTAATATTGGCTTTCTTGCTGGTGCTAACCTTAACAATTGCACTATTAATGTTGTTGTTGGACCAAAACCGAACACTGACATAGTTTGACATGTTGCAGACTATGGTCTTGTTACAGGCCAAGGTCGAATATCGTCACTTTCTGTTGTGACGTCACTTGAATTGTTCGATGACGTAATTGCATTCGGACAGTCAACCCCGTCAGAAGTTGGTTTTGAGTAAACTTACAGTCAAATTCCTTCATTGTTTCCTTTTTCTTTTCAACACAAACTCCATGTATTTTAGCAATAATAACGGTAATGCTAGTTTTGAGGGCATTATCATTTGCAGAAGCCCTCGGTCTTTTTCAACAGTTAATGGAAGACTGCGGGCTTCTGCAAATGATAATGCCCTCAAAAATAGCATTACCCTTATATTGTATTATGTACACATCCGTCTGTTTAGTGCAAGGTAACAACTGTTAATGTTTACTCTTGGGCAACAGGACATATATCTGATATATTTCATTTTAGCCATGTCAACAGTCCACTGATGGATGAAGATGTGCAGGGTCTGGCACAGGACACACTTGAAATCAAAATGGTATGTGGAAACTGCACAGCTTCTAAATTTGCGTTCGATGATATGCTTTCACTTAAATTTACCCAGTGGGTATTCCCTGATAGAATAAGTATATTAGCTTGTTGTGCTAGGTCTATGTGTATCATCTTGCGCTGTGAGATTACAAGTCCTTCAGACCCAAATGAAATACCTCCGGATACGGTCATTTGCTTGGATGAGATCATGCTGATTTGTGTTAGCGATTGTACCCTGATGAGATGGATATTCTTCACTGCTGTTAAAGAATATTTACTCACTTTACTGATAGCATTATGATGGCTTCTGTCTCTGCAGAGAAAGGTGCACAAACGGATCCACGACGTGCAACAGAACATATCTC